CAACAGAAAGGCACTAATTCCAGGCCTATTGGAGGTGAAGTCTGGTTAGCTCACCCTAGTTAATGCATCCAGACAAAAATTCCCACTGTGGCAAACTGTGGGAAAGGAAGCAACTGCTTATATACGTGCCATCCCAAGTTATGGGAACAGCATCTATGCCCTGTGGATACCTGGAACTTGGGCTATATAAAGGTGACACCCCAGAAGAACGACTCCAAGACCCTGACCACTGAGAAGACCAGAAGAAGAAGGACCAATGGGATGCAATCTAGATCCCCGGGTGGTGAATATCTCTGCTTGATCTCTGTCTCCCTCCCCTTTCCTATTTCTTTCTATCTCTCTACCTCACATTTACTGTAATTAAAATCCGTACTATTGACTTTGGCATATGTTTTCATTTGCACCTTAATTCAGACAGAGGCATCTTTTAATAATCGGATCATAACAAATGTGATTGCTCAGTAAGCATTCAGTTTGGCTTTTTTAATGTTTTCATTACAAACATATTTGATTTTGTTGCCTTGACTTAGGATAAACACAACTTAGCAACCACCAAAACATCAGTGTGTTATCAACATTATTCTCTACTGAATCCAAAACACAGCACTGTACCAACTACTGAGAAAAAATTAACTCTATCCCAGCTGAAACCAGGACAAGGTCACATCAACATAATGTTTAAGAATGCTTTTGCCACACCTTCTGGAAACATACAGTTACCTTTTTTTGGACTTTGTTATGAATCTGTAGTATATCGGTATGATCTCTTCCACAGAGCTAGCTAAAACACTGAAGTAGAATATAAATATATTCAGCAGCAAGTGAGAGAAGGGGAGGAATGAAGAAAAATAAAATCAATAAAAAATCCTTAGACAACATTTGTAGATGCAACAGGGCAAAAGCTGGAGTTTGAGTGATTTTTGAACTCAAATGAAGTACTGTTGTGTTCTCTTGAATTTTTCTGCTTACAAACAAAAAGAAGCAGTTGCAGCTTCAGGCAAATAATTCTTCCGGGCTGTGGGAGCAAAGAAATGTTCATTTCAGCCACTTAAGTAGGAAAAAGATTTTAATCAATAGTCATCAGAAAATGTAGTAGTATGCAGGATGGGTACTACTATGATAATAAAATTGTGGATGAAGAGCTTTTAAACACCTGAGAATACAAATAACATCCTGAGACATGTTTTATGCTAATACAGTAAATAAGACCTGTAGTTTACTTATATAAAATAGTATAACTGTATATGGAATTAATATTGAGGGAAAGGAGGTTTTAAATGTTTTTTTTTTTATTTGTGAAGACATACTTTTAAGATAGAAAACATTGTTTGGACAGAATAAATGTTGCCTAAAGGCCTTCTCAAACATGAAATTTTCACAGGAAGCATACTTAACAAAATTGGAAGGAATAAGTGGGTTTGTGTTTTTTCTTTCAGAAGATAAAACTTACCAAAAGAATGAAACTTTCTGAAATCCTGAAAGATTTGGAAACCTGTTTATAAACATCTGTACTGTAGTTCATTCTTAGACTGCAATGTTAAAGAAGAGCAACAGCATAAATTTTGTAACAAACTTTTGGAGGAAATATGTGGGTTTTAAACTAGAGAAAGCAAACATAGAAAGCTAAAGTTGGACTGCATATTTTGTGTCTTTAAAGGGTGAGACATTTTTCAGGGTTCAACCTATACTGCCTTGGACTCAAAGTAACTCTTTTGACCCTAAATGGAGAGAAGAGAGATTTTGTGGTAATTCTTAATATTTCTTTCATTGTTATTTCTGTGAGTTCGACTTCCCTCTCCCTCCCAAGAAGTGTCTTATGTACTCCTCATGAGCTGCAGAAAAAACACATCAGGAAGAATTTCACATTGATTTTTTTTTTGGCTATTGGTGGTACGTGTATAGAAACTCATACACTACAAAACAAGAAAATATATTATCCTCTTTTTTTCTTATTAGGAAACAAGTCTCATTAAAGGTCTTGATCTCCAAAGACTTCATGGGTTTAAATTCAGGACTTGAGTAAAAAACCATACCCCTCTTGCTGTATAGGGACAATATGTGACTGTTACATAGATGTGATCCTTTGAAGCTGTCTTTAAATATGAAGGAGATAATTAAAGTATTTTCAGTGTCTAGTGTTTTGAAATCTTAGCTGACTTCTTTAAGAAGAAAACTACTTGAATGCCTCTGTGCATTTCTTTCATCACTGCATACCTGAATGTTCTGCCTTTGGCAGATGAATCACACACCGTGCAGTCAGGTAGAGCCATTTGTTGCAGATACTTATATTTATAGACTAGGTTTATGTAGTCCTGCTGTTTCTTACTACTTGTTCTCTATCCACCCATATAACTTTCACAAAACTTTGCTACTTTTGACCCAATTTGATGGAAAAGCAGAGGTTGCAAAGATTTTTTAAAAAATGAGGATATAGGTAGAGAATAAGAACCCAAATTAGTTGTACCATTTAAGGGAAAGGCAGTTGTAATTATATGAGTTACTCATTTCGAGAGACAGCAGGCAACTGAGTTTGTGTGTATGTTGGCCAGCCACCTAGCCTGTGGACAGTTCAAAACCAGGTACATCTCATGTCGTTGTTTATCTGGCCAGAAAGGAAATATGGGATGAAGTGAAAAAGGGTCTGGGAGTGATGTGGCAGATGGGACTTTTGGGAACGTAGCATTCTGTAGTTTGGTGTCCTAGCTGATGTTAATTTTGCTGCTCACAAACCTCATGCTTTCATAAATTATGACTGTGTCTTAGTTTAACAAGATTACAACTTAAAAATTAAGAGACTTCAGGTGGAAGTGTGGAAAAGGAAAAGAAACGGCTTTTTATTAACAAAATCTGAATAAACAACAAATGGTGCAATCAAAAACTTTCAGAAGAAACAAAACAAAGTCCCAAATCCCCAGGTGGGGGGGAGAAACCCGCTGCAACCTGGGGAAGGGGGGGGGGGGGGGGAATGCAGGACTGTCCCGGCAGTTCAAAAGCTGCTCACAACCACCTGTACTCACAGCCAGCAATGAAAAAAAACAAGTCCTTTTTCCCACAGGCAGTCTTGAAAGCAGAATACCTCGCTCTGAGATGGGTTGGTCTCTCTCTCTCTTGGTCGTCCTCTGCAAGGTGTCCCGTGGGGAAAAAACTTCCTCTCAGGAAAAGAGAACGAGGGGGCCAAAAACCGGGCTCCTGCTCTGTCCAATCCCGGACCAAAATCCTAAAAACCTCCCGAACAAAGGACTCACTGCCCTCCTCGCGCTGCCCCCAGCCCTCCTCGCGCTGCCCCGTGTGTGCTTCTTCGCTCCGCCCCCACCCCCATCCCGGAAGAAACAGATTGGGGGGGGCGTGACACTGGGAAAAAATTCCAATATCTCTTTTCAAACTTATGACAGACTGAAATGTCCAGTGTTTGTTGTCATATTCAGGTGTTGCAGGCTTGTCGGATCTCTAAACTTTGCCTTGGTTATGTGTTTAATGTCTCTTGTTGAAAATTCTTGTGTTATCTGAGCAATGAAAATTATTTTCTTTGTAACTGATTTTTTCCACCCTTTTAGTTTAGAGAAAATAATCTGCTCTCTTCTTGCTCCTGATAAACATCTGAATTAATAATAATTATTTTTAAACTACTCTACTTATGATCCTTTTCTTCTTTGTTTTTCCCTAAGTTACAGGGGAATACTGCCCCTTGAGAGTAGTGTGCTTGGCTGTATTCACAGAGCTTCTGCCCACAATACCTGAACAGCCTCAGATGAATGATGTTTCCTTTGACCTAGTGAACTGAGCACAGAGCCAGAAGCCTAGCAACAGAATCAGGGTTAGAATTGATTGCTTGTTTAGTGGATGCTCTCTTTGTGTGCTAATTTCTTCATCTAAAAAAATACTTTCCTTGGAAGTGCTACACATGTGTTGCCGTGGGATTTATGGTGCTGAAAAAAAATCTCCCAGAGCAGTTAATTAGGGGTGAGATAAGAAAGGGTTTATTTTGCCAAGGCAGTAGATGTTACACGACGCGCACAGGCCGTGCCTGAGATGTTACATTTTATAATACCATCCATCCAATCCCAAATGTGTCCACCCTGTGGCCTTTACTCTGGACCGCCTCGGGTCCACCCCCTGAAAATGGGTCTGGGGTGTTTTTTGGGACCCTCTGTTCATCCCACCTTCACCATCATCAGAGCACAAAGGGTACATAGTTACCTAATTCTTGACCGTATTCTGTGGTTTAGGCCCTGATATGCTGTTCTGCCAACAATCTAGGCCTTGCCTTGACAAAAGACTAAACATTTCTGCTGTATTCAGGGGTAGGAGTGATATAGGGAGCATACAATGGGGTAAGAGGGTTAAGGAATGTGTAAACAAGGGTGCTACAGGGAAAGGGATGCAAGGGATGCTGCTTTTAGAATCTACTTCCACTACTTATAAAACTTACAAGTAAAACTTACAAGTGCCTCCCTGGGCACTCTGTTCCAATGCCTGACCAACCATTCAGTGAAGAAGTTCTTCCTGATTATCAACCTGAACCTCTCCTGGCACAGCTTGAGGCTATTTTCTCTTGTCCCGTGATTGCTCAGTAAGCATTCATTTTGGTTTTTTAATGTTTTCATTATATATTTCATTTTGTTGCTCTGTAAATCCCTGGTATTTAGACAGTGTTAGGTGGGTGATTGTTATGTCACTGTGTTCTGACTCTTACTAAAGAATGTTAAAGGCAAAAGGGAACAGCAGAGAGTATAGGAAGAAATTTTGGAAGTCTTTTTCAAGTCTTGAGCCCTTAGGTTTTATTTGTTTCTGTTCCCTACAACATTCTGTCAAGTGTTCTTAGATTATTTTTTTTAAATTTACTTCTGTGGTTTTGCATATACTTTTTAAGTGGCTATTAAAATGGAGTAATTTTCAGCTACAGTAAAAATTCTTGTGCTTTGTGCCTTCAGAGTGCATATTCATTTGTCTTCAAATATCTTCAAAATTTAAATTATGCTTTTGATTACTTTCTTTGACAGGGCTGCGATAGAGGAGGCATATTCAAGGTCAATGACAAAACTAGCCAAATCAGCGAGCAATTACACACAACTTGGGTAAGTGTGTAGAAGAGAGAAACACTTAAGCATGTTAAGCATCGTTTGATTCTATTTTATTGATGATGTTCAAGGTAGCATAACTTTGCTGCCTTTAATGATTGTTAGTTCTTCAGTTACTGTGAAGCTATGCAAAATATCATGCAGCTATGAAAAACAAGACTGTACAGTTCTTTATTAACAGTTAAAAAAAAACAAAGCAAAAAGCCCAGCACCATGGAGGAATTGCCTGTTCCTCTGTGTTTACAGTTGAGTTTTTTTTAGCCATAAAAAAGAATGTGACTTTCTATTCTGTGCTCCCTAGCCTATGGTTATTAATTTGAAGAAAAAACATATGGTCTGCAAATGGAGCAGTGAATTTATTTATTTTTATTATTTCTACTTTTTCAAGTGTTATCTCTGTCCTTGGACATGTTAAGAATGAGACTTTTCAATAGATTTATTCCATAGTTTAATTAAAAATTTTTACACAGGATGTTTTTTTAAAAAATTGAATGATTAATGGATGTTGTTTTCATTAGAAAGATTATGCCAACAGCTCAGACTTCTTAGAAGAGGCTAAAGATTAATTTTATTTGTAGTAATCACATCTAGAAATGTGGAGAGCTTTCATCAGTGGATAATTTGATACCAGTTGTTGCTGCTCTTCAAAGGTTTTGTATCTCCATGTTAGTTTGAACATCAGTGCTTTAAAGGCTATGCATGGTATTTATTTTTCAGCAGCATTGACCTGGAAACTGAGGTAGGAGTGTATCTTTAGAATAGCTGGAGAAGTCCATGCAGTATAAAAATCTGAATCTAAGGAATGATCTGTTCCTCACCTTCCTTTACCATATGGTTAATCCTGTGGCTGTAATGATGAAAGACAGCTGAAAATTTAACTAGTGTCTTCTTTTAAAGACAGTGTATGCCAGGGAGGCAGGACCTCTGATGGAATAGATACCCCTCCCCCTAAAATTATGCAAATTTGAATATAAGAGACTTTTGAGCAAAAGTGTAGAAACAAATAACAGTTTACTAAAAACAGAGAACAAAGCAGAACAAAACAACAACTACACAATAACAGAGAAGATACCACCCAAAAATGACTCACTTCCACACTGATGCAGTCCTGGCGCAGTCACGTGATCCTGACAGCGGTGTCTACCACACAGAAGTGACCACAATGTCAGCGGGGGGCAGGGATGGGCAAGCGGCTCTGGCTCTGCCTGCAGCATGTTGGTGCCCCACCGGGCAGTGGGAACCTGGCAGGTCGGAGTGGCGAGCAGCAGGAAGCTGGTAGGTTGGAGCTGCGGGCGGTTGCAGTAGATTGAAAGGCAGCGAGCTGGCACAAGGTGGGCTCCAGGGACGCTGTGGCTCAGGCACTAGTAACTTGGTCCCTGGGTAGCACCCGGGTGGGGCAGGCAATGTCAGTGCTGGCGGTGGAGCTTACCAACTCCAGATGCCACGGTGCGGGTGGGTGCCAGGGTATCGATCAGTGGAAATGGCTGCTACTCTGGAGCCAGCAGCAGTGAGCAAGTTTGAGCTGACTTCCTGCCAAAATCTCCAATGCTCAGCAAAAGCTCCTCCCCTCTCTCCCCTTTTTCGGCAAAGAAAGGAAAGGGAAAAAAAATTATAGAAACTGAAAGGAATTGAACCCAACTGAATTATACCAAAATATATGTGTATTTTTACATATATACAGTTATATACAGTAAGGATATTATGTATAACTCCCAATTAATGGGGAGAGGGGAAGGGAAAAATGGGAAAAAAGGGGCAAAAAGGGACAAAACCAAAACAGGTATGCACAATCGAGAAACCCAGTAGCTAACAAAATAAAAAAAAAAAACTATTAAAATCTCACCACTTCCCTTGAGAAAAGCAGGACGACTGGACGTGGCCCAGCACTCTCCCCTCACGTGTGGTAGACAACAGCAGTCACTGTAGGCCTCAACTCCAGATAAGCAAGGCCGAGACAGGGACCTACCGTTCCCAAACCTCACCGGAAGAGAGTGAGGTCTCTCCGGTCAGCTTTATTTATACCTCAGGTTACGTAAAGGAATAGCATGGAATACTTCCTTAGTCACTTCCCTAGTTCCTTCATGGTTACAAGCTGGTCTCCAGGAAGGCCTAGGGTGAAAACTATCACAAGCAGGCAAAGGATGACAGGGCTCCAGTGAGCACGGTTCCGGAGTGGCATGGGATGCGCAAAGCAGAAGTGCAAAACAGGTTCTCCCACAGCTACCGGTGGCTCCCTGTGAACAGCAGTCCCAGGACAAAGAGATGCAGCTGCTCCTTGACTGTAGTGATGGAAAAAAGAGAGGGGGCTCCCATCCTGCCAACCATTCTTATACCCTCCAAACTTCTGCAGCACTTCCCATGGGAACCCTCATTTCCCCTGCGTCAGAAATCCCATCTCCCCCGCTGCCCGTTCGCGACCAGGACCCCAGCACATGCAGCCCTCCCCCCCGTGCCTCATGGTGGCATGGGAAATTCAGCAAGAGAGTCCAAACCACAACAACTAGCCAAGTAACTTTTGTTTTCTTTTCACTATTTAGGTATGCACATAAAAATACCTGTACATGTTAAATTTTTTTGAGCTGCTCTTTCATCATCTTTAGGAATACCATTTGTCATTTTGTACTGTGGAGAAGAATAAGTTAATTTTGCTGTGTTTTACTCAATAAGGTCAACAGAGGTAAAACATAGAACACTGAAAAGTTTAGTAAGATGTCAAGTACGTTTGAAACATTAAATAACATTTATAGCAGTTTGTTGTGTTTTTTGTTTACTTCAGTTTTAGGATCAGAGCTGAAATTCTGTAGGCATATCAGTTACACTTTAGCACTATTTTAAAAAAAATGTAGCCAACAAAGAAAAAAAACCAGAATCTTTAGGGTTGGAAGGGACCTCTGGAGATCACACAGTCCAACCCCACTGCCAATGCAGAATCACCTAGAGCGGGTTACACAGGAACTCATCCAGAGCGATTTTGAATGTCTCCAGACAGGGAGACTCTACGACCTCCCTGGGCAGCCTGTTGCAGTGCTCTGCCACCCTCAATGGAAAGGGTTCCTCGTGTTCAGATAGAACTTCTTTGTGTTTTGGTTTATGGCCATTGCTCCTCAATCTGTCACTGGGCACCACTGAAAAGAGTCTGGCACCATCCTCTTGACACATGCTGTTATAGTTACAGATTTTGGAGGAAGATTTAGTGATGAATATTCATACCATTATGTCATCTGGAGCCCATGTTCTCCCATTTTTTTCTTTTGTTTGGTTGGGCGGAAGGGTGGTGGTTTGGCAGGAAAGACCCTTTGCCATTTTGGTTTTCCCCTTTTTGTTCCCAAGGGGTGGGGTGCCACTTGTTTTTTGTGGGTCCTTCCTTTTGTGCGTAAACCATTTTTTTTCCCTCTCTATTTTTTGGTAGTTATTGTTATTTCCTTTTAGTTAATAGTTATTTTTTCACTTTCACTCGCATTTTTGGGTTTTTGCTCTATTAGGGAAGGGGAATAAAAGGGGAGGGGTTTTATCTTATTGGAGTTCCTGCCTCCCAAATATATTGTCTTTAAACCAAGACACCTGTCTTTGAGATATTTATATGCGTTAATGAGATCCCCTCTCGGTCTTCTCTTCTCTAGACTAAACAGACCCAGCTCCTGCCATCTCTCCTCATAAGACAGATGCTCCAGGCCCCTAATCATCTTTGTGGCCTCTGCTGGACCCTCTCCAGTAGCTCCTTGTCTTTTTTGTACTGTGGAGATCAGAATTGAATGGATGTGGCCTCACTAGGGCCGAGTAGAGGGGCAGGATCACCTCCCTCAACCTGCTGGCCACACTCTTCCTGATGCACACCAGGATACCATTGGCCCTCCTGGCTGCAAGGGCACACTGCCAGCTCATAATCAGCTTGTCACCCACCAAGACTCCCAGGTCCTCCTCTGCAGAGTTGCTCTCTAGTAGGTCAGCCCCCAACCTGTACTGGTACTTGGGGTTATTCCTCCCCAGGTGCAGTAGCCTACACTTGCCCTTGTTGAACCTCATTAGGTTTCTCTCTGCCCAACTCTCCAGCCTATCAAGGTCCCACTGAATGGCAGCACAGTCTTCAGGTGTATCAGCCACTCCCCCCAGTTTTGTATTATCAGCAAACTTGCTGAGGGTACATTCTATCCCTTCATCCAGGTCACTGAGAAACAAGTTGAATAAGACTGGACCCAGTATTGATCCTTGGAGAATGCCACTGACTACAGGCCTCCAACTGGATTCTACTCCCCTGATCACAACCCTCTGAGCTCAGCCATTCAACCAATTCTTGATCCACCTCACTGTCCATTAATCTAACCCACATTTCCTGAGATTTATCTAAGAGGATGTTATGGTAGACAGTGTCAAAAACCTTGCTGAAGCCAAGGTAGACAACATCCACTGCTTTCCCCTCGTCCACCCATCGTGCCATGTCATCATAGAAGGCTGTCAGATAGGTTAAGCATGATTTCTCCTTGGTGAATCCATGCTGACTACTCCTGATGAACTTCTTCTCTTTTACATGCTTGGTGATGACCTCCAGAAGGACCTGTTCCATCACCTTTCCAGGGATAGAGGTGAGGCTGACTGGCCAGTAGTTTCCCAGGTCCTCCTTCTTGCCCTTTTTGAATATGAGAGTAACATTGGACTTCCTTCAGTCATTGAGCAACTCTCTCATTCTCCATGATTTTTCAAAGATGATGGAGAGAGGCAGAGGCAGAGCAACATCTGCCAGCTCCCTCAGCACACATGGGTGCATGCCATCAGGGTCCATGGATTTATGGGTGTTAAGTCTCTCTAGCTGATCTCTAACCCAACACTGAACAACCAAGGGGAAGTCTTCCTTTCTCTAGCCTTCTTTTACCTCCAAGGTCTGGGATACCTGAGGGCCATGTTCAGCAGGAAAGACTGAGGCAAAGAAGGCATTCAGTAATTCCACCTTCTCTGTGTCTTCTGTCACCAGAATGCCCATCTGAATCTGCAGCAACCCCACATTTTCCCTAGTCTTCCTTTTTCTGCTGATGTTCTTGTAGAAGCCCTTGTTGTTGTCCTTAATATCCCTTGCCAGATTCAATTCCAAGTGGGCCTTGGCCTTCGTCATCACATCCCTGCATACTCTGATGATGTTCCTATAGTCCTCCTATGTGGCCTGTTTCTTTTTCCACATCCCATAAATTTCTTTCTTTTGTTTGAGATTTACTAGAAGCTCCCTGCTCATCCATGCAGGTCTTCTGCCCCCTTTGCCTGATTTCTTGATCATGGGGATACACTGGTCTTGAGCTTGGAGGAAGTGATGCTTGAATATTGACCAGCTCTCTTGGACTCCCTACTCTTCTAGAGCCCATTCCATGGGATTCCTCTAAGTAGGTCTTTGAAGAGGTCAAAGTTAACTCTCTGAAAGTTTAGGGTTCTAGTTCTGCTTACTGCTTTGCTTCCTCCACACAGCATCCTGAGTTCTACCATCTCATGGTCACTACAACCAAGGCTGCCCCCAGCCTTCGCATCTTCATCCAGTCCCTCCTGGTTAGTTAGTAGAAGTCCAGATGTTAGTACAAATCCAGATGAGCATTAAATTTTTTATTATTTTTTGTCCCCTCAATCTAGGACATTTGTACCAGTTTGGGATGTTTTCAAAACCTCAACAGAAAAACTGGCAAGCTGTCACTTGGACCTCATGCGGAGATTACAAGAGCTAATAAAAGAAGTTCATAAGTATGGAGATGAACAAATCAAAACTTATAAAAAGGTTATTAATTTTTTACTTATGCATGTCCAATGGCTTGTTAATGTTAAAATAAAAATGGTTTGTTTTTGACAACTATGTGATATTTGACAGACTAAAGAAGATGTTTCAGGAACATTAGAAGCAGTGCAAAATATTCAAAGTATCACTCAGGCCTTACAAAAATCAAAGGAAAACTACAATGCAAAGTGTGTTGAACAAGAACGTTTGAAAAAGGAAGGAGCAACACAGAGAGAAGTTGATAAGGTAGTTCTGTGACATCTTAAATTCATTGTGTTGTCAATCTGTAACATTCACCTTGTACTAGTGAAATACTCAAAAAGGGCTAAAAGTAGTTGTGGTTATTTCATAATGTGCATGATGCTTTGAATGCCTTGTTATGTTTTGTTTACTCTTCCTTAATGGTTCTAACTGCACTGCAGTTCTAATTCTTTATTTTGTAATTACCTACATCATATGATAATTTTCTTCAGTGGCTTTTAAAGAAACTGTATGTGTTTCAGCTTCTATTATGTTTTCGGATGTATTTTGTTAAGTAAATATGCAAACATTCAATGCCTTTATTAATGAATTAAAGAGTAGGAAGTTTTGTGTTGTCCCCTCAAGTGAGACAAAGCAGCTAATTATAGGAGTATTTGAAGTCTGTTTCATTGAGAAGAAAAGCAAGTTAACATTACTTTCAACAATAATTTAAGAGGTTCCAATAACATGGGTCAAAACTCCAAGGGACTGCATTTAGTACTCTCCTTGGGTCATGGAGGAGCTTGATCCATTTATAGAATCACAGCATGATTAAGGTTGGAAGGGACCTTAGAGAAGTTGTGGATTCCCCACCCCTAGAAGTGTTCGAGGCCAAGTTGGATGGGGCTCTGAACAACCTGGTCTAGTGGAATGTGTCCCTGACCATGGCAGGAGGGTTAAAACTGGATCATCTTTAAGGTCCCTTCCAACCCAAATTGTTCTATGACTCTATGACCTCTGGAGGTCATCTTGTCCAACCCCCCTGCTCAGGCAGGATCACCTAGAGCCAGCTGCCCTGGACAGATGGCTTTTGAAGATGGCTTTTGAAGATCTCCAAGGATGCAGGTTCCATAATCTCCCTGGACAAACTGATCCAGTGCTCAGTCCCCCTTACAGTAAAAAAAGTGTTTCCTGATGTTCAAGTGGAACCTCCTGTGTCTCAGTCTGTGCCCATTGCCTCTGGTTCTGTCACTGAGCACCACCGAAAAGAGCCTGGGTCTCTTTGCACCCTCCCTTCAGGTATGACATGCATTTACAAGATGTCTTCAGAGCCCCAGGCTGAACAGTCCCAGCTCTCTCAGATTTTCCTCATAGGACAGATGCTGCAGTCCCTTGATCATCTTTTTGGCCTGTTGCTGAACTCTCTCTCTCTAGTATGTCCACGTCTTTCTTTAAGTATGTTAATAGCAAGAGGAGGTCTAAAGAAAACATTGGACCAATACTTGTTGAAGATGGTTGTCTGACTAATAGGGATGAAGAAAAAGAGGAGGCATTCAATGCTTTTTTTTTTTCCTCTTCAGTCATTAGTAATACTGATAGGGGACCAGGCAGCCCATGGTTTGAGTTTTGTTTCCATCCCTGGAGCAGTCAATTCCAGATGCATTGGACAACCCTCCACATGAAAGCAAACTGTGGCCTGCACTGTGTTGCCAAAGGGATTGAGAAAAACACATTAGCGATATCAGTTGTAGCACCACTGGGCTGCCTTTGACTCCAGCTCGTATTGAAGTTCCAGCATGTCTGGTACAGCAGCACTCAGAGGCGACGTGACTTTGTTCAGGCCACGATAGTTTATTTTTACTCTCCATTCTCCGTTAGACTTTTGCACTGGCCATATGGGGCTGTTAAAGGGCAAGTGAGAGTTCCTGATCACTCCTTGGCTCTCCAATTGATGGATCAGCTCATGGATGGGAGCTAGGGAGTCTCGGTGCAATATTGCACCAGCTTAGTAGCAGTTGGCACCCGCTGTTCTTCCGCTTGCAGTAATCCCACAATGAAGGGATCTTCTAAGAGGCCAGGCAGGGTAGATAGCTGCTTGATCTTCTCTGTGCTCATGGTAGCTACACAAAAACCCCATCTGTACCCCTTTGGGTCTTTGAAGTACCCCCTCCTGAGGCAGTCGATGCCAAGGATACAAGGGACCTCTGGGCCAATCACAATGGGGAGTTTTTCTCATTTATTCCCTCTTAAGCTTCCCTCAGCCTCCAATATAGAGAATTCTTGGCATCCCCCTGTCACTCCAGAGATCCAGATGGGTTTTGTGCCCCTGTACTCTGATGGCATCAGTGTGCAGTGTGCACTAGTATCTACTAAAGCTTTGTACTTCTGAGGATCTGATGTGCCAGGCCATCGAATCAACACAGTCCAGCATGCCCGGTCATCCCCTTCCTCCTCCTGGCTGAAGGCAGGGACCCTCTATTTCTGTTCCTTGTCAGAGTATTCACTGTCTGACCCTTGCAGTATCATACCAGAAGTCCCCTCGCCAGGATCAAGGAAGGTGATTTCAGTCCTTTTACATCTGGGAGATCCCTGATTGCCTTCTTGTGTCTACAACTACACTGGCAGCCTTCTTGGGTGACCCCTTCTTAACAGCTCTCTTCTCTCTCAATTCATGTACATGGGCTTCCAGCTTAATGGTGGGTTCACCATGCCACTTCTTAATGTCTTCCCCCTGGTCACGCAGGAAGAACAAGAGTGCACCATGTGGCCTGTGCCTGGGACTCCCTTTCCCTCTGACCAGGGCAGGAGAGGACCGATTTCTTGGGGCACCCCTGAGAGCTGAGGTGTTGGCCCATGGGGATGAGGGACAGAGATTTTTTTCAAAGTTTTGGAGTCAGGAAGACTCTCTACAGTTGGTGTATCCATTTCCGGGTAATACATTGCTGTCAAGATGTTAGAATATGACTGGGGCACTTTGAATCACCTTCCTCCACACAGTCATTGTGCAAGGGACATCCTCTGGATCTTTAGAGACCTTATTATTTATTAGATCACTACAGATGACTTCCAGCACTGCTAATTCTCTCAAGTCCTGGATACCTTAATCTGCAGTGGTCCACTTTCCTGGGGAGTTCACAAATCTTCCTTAAATGGATATCTTGCTCTCACATTTGAGAGGAGCCATCTCGAGAGACTGCAAATTGCTGCCTCCTTTCCAATTCTTCTCTCAATTTCCCAATTTCTAGCAAGACATCTCAGTTGTTGGGCTTTGTGACCTTCCAATTGCTGGCCATCAGCCCCATTATCCCAGCATCAAAGCAACCAGGCAGAAATCTGCTCACCTGGCTGGTGGCTGTAATCTTTTCTCAAGTCTTAAATTTCTGATGAGGTCAGGGGCAGGGTAACTTTGGTTTCCTGTTTGAATTGTCTCACTCCTTTCTTCAATTTTTTTGTCAAAGAACTGGTTTTGTGATCAGACCCTTCCTTTCCTGATTCTTCTCCTTCTCCTTTTCTTCCTCCTCTTCCTCCTCCCCCTTTCTAATCAATGATATGGACCTCTCCTTGTCCACCTTTTCTTTTTCACTACTGGGGCAATTACTGCAGTTGTTGTGATTTGAGTCCCTATCTCAGCCATAGTGTCCTCCACTGCAGTTTGTGTCCCTGCCTCCACTACAGTCCTCTGAGAGTATTGAACTGTGGCTTGATAGGCACAGGCCAGGCCCCAGTACAGGGTGAGAAGCTGCTGGTTTTCACTGGGGTAGGCAAGGCACCCTTCTATCAGGTGACGCATCAGTTTGCTGGGTTTATTGGTTGTTCAGGTGTAAAGTCCCAGGTAATGGGAGGTGTTAACCACCCTAGGAACCTGCCCAAATCCTTCCACACACCCTGCCACCCAGGAACTGGCTGCTTCAGAGCACATTTCCATATTGCCTCACCAAAAAGTTATCTTCTCTTACACCGGGGCAACACCAGATTCCACAAACATCATAATATGCCAACAGTGTTTATTAGTAGTATTAAACAGTTCATGTAAGGGTGAACAAGGACCTCGGGAGCCTGCATAATAAAACCATCCACATCACTTCCAGGTAGGGAGAGGGAGATGTATTCCCTCATCATCCCCAGAAGATAGCTCCCCAAGCACAGCAAGGACATCAATGCCAGGGCAAAGCACAGAGCCATTGTTTCTATTAACATGTTCTCAAACTCAGCAAGATAGAGAAGCAGTGCAACTGAAAAACTCCATGTCCCACACAGGAGCTTGTTATTTGATAGCTGTTATTACTATAGCATGCAATATATATATATATATATATATATATAACTGCCTTTGTCTTGCCCCACATTGGGTGCCAAAAAGGACTGTGGTGGGTTAACCTTGGCTGGATACCAGGTGCCCAACAAGCTGCTCTTTCTCCCCTCCTCAGCTGGGGGAGAGGGGTGGGGAAGAAAATATAGCAAAAGTTTGTAGGTCAAGATAAGGACAGGGAGAGATCGCTCACCAATTACAGTCACAGGTAAAATAGACTCAACTTGGGGAAATTAATTGAATTTATTACCAGTCAAATCAGAGTAGCATAATTAGAAGTAAAACGAATTCTAAAAACACTTTTCCTCCACTGGGCTTAACTTTATTCTCGATTCTCTCTATCCTTTCTGCCAGCAGCACAGGGGGATGGGGAATGGGAGTTATGGTCAGTTCATCACATGTTGTTTCTGCCACTGCTTCCTCCTCAGGGAGAGGATTCCTTGCTCCAGTGTGGGATCCCTCCCACAGGAGACAGTCATCCAAGAACTTCTCCAATGTGAGTCCTTCCCACAGACTGCAGTTCTTCATGAACTGCTCCAGCATAGGTCACTTTCCATGGGGTGCAGTCCTTCAGGAACAGGCTGCTCCAGTTTGAATCCCCCATGGGGTCACAGGTCCTGCCAGAAGCCTGCTCCAGTGTGGGCTTAACACAAGGTGACGGCCACCTTCAGACATCCATCCACCTGCTCCGGTGTGGGGCTGCTCCACAGGCTGCAGGTGGATCTCTTCTCCACCATGGACCTCCACAGGCTGCAGGGGCACAGCCTGCCTCACCATGGTTTTCACCATGTCCTGCAGGAGAATCTCAGTTCTGGTGCCTGGAGCACCTCCTCCCTCTCCTTCTCCACTGACCTTGGTGTCTGCAGAATTGTTTCTCTCACACATTCTCACTCTTCTCTGGTTGCAATTACTTCTGTGCCATAATGTTTTTTCCTTCTTAAAAACACCCCAGAAATGTTACTACCATCGCTGATCA